GACATGCCTGCCAGTCCGGTCTGTCAGCTCTGAGGGCCTGCACCCCATTCCCCCCCTCGCCCATCACACAGTCTAGACACTATAATCAAGCTTTTTGGGGTGATGGAGATGGCACATTTACACACACACACACACACACACACACACACACACACACAGAGAGAGAGAGAGAGAGACAAGAACAGCAGAGAAGCCCCTGCAATTTCTATGTCAACGTAACTCTGTGTGGCAAGAGAAAAAAAAAAGAAATGCAGCAAAATCAACCTGGCGGTTTGCAAAATGTCCTCGACCGAAAGGGCTGAGCCCCAAAGAGCAGGGGAAGGAACTCGGGAGGCCAGGCCGTGCGGGTGTGGTGCTCGAGGGCAGGAGCGAAAGTCTCGGCCAGCACATGGAATTCTGCCCTGCGCCTCGATTGTGCCAATTCATGGTTGTTGCTTTGATCAAATACTGGGGGTTGGAGGGGCAGGGTGGGGGAGGCAATCAGTGACTGGAGGGGGGCCCTGAAGAGAGCCCCCCCCACTGGGAGGGGTTCCCCTCAGTCATTCCTTCGGTGCCAGCCACTCCTCTGTACACTGGCAAGTTCCGAGGACTCAGCTCGAGAGGGAGGGAGGGAGGCAGACAGACAGAGAGACAGAGAGACAGACAGACAGACAGACAGACAGACAGAGGCCGCCTAGGCAGCGAAATTCTGCCCTCCATCCACAACCCATGATTGCAAAGTCCAGCGAGCGGTGGGATCACTTACGGAGATGAAGTCCTGGGTGCAGGAGTGTGGCAGCCCGCCCACAGGAGAGAAAAGAGGAAGGCAGGTAAGGGGGGGCAGTGACGCAGGGAGGGCCCAGCCGGGGGGGGCATGAGGGCCCTCCCCCCCCAAGCCCCCTCCCCCCATCAGCAGGGGCAGGAGGACGCTGTGTGGGTGCTTCCCCTTCCGTGAGGAGCCCACCCACAGCCTTCCGGTTTGCTGGAGGCCGAGGCCGAGGAGGGGCTCCAGAGCAGGTCGCCCGGGAGCAGCGCCTTCTCCCACAGCCATGCAGGGCTGGAGCTCAGCACTGCCCCCCCCCCGAGCACTCTTACCTTCCTGGTGGCAAGGGTTGGATCCTGCTGAAGCAGGTCTTTCAGGGTGGCCAGGTGGCCGCTGGCTGCCCCCTGCAGCCATTCCTTCTCCAGGGTCTCCAACTGGGAAGAGACAAAGGGGGGGGGCTCAGAGGGGGCCAAGACAGCAAGGGCGCCCCTGAATCGGGCCCCTCCCCAGCTCCACACCCTGTCCTCTGCGCTGCCGCCCAGCAGAGCCCCATCTCACTCTGTGGATCCAGCCCCCCTTTACTCCACGCAGCCCCCCCACCTTCCATGCCTCCCACCAGCTGCCAAGTCCCTGCCTCTCGCTCTGCTAGAGGCCACCCTATGACCCCCCCAACTCACGGCCCCGGCATTGGGCCCCGGGCTGCCCCCTCCGTCATTGAAGGCGTCTCGCTCTGGCTCCAGCTGTGGAAAAATGAATCCAGTCAAATGAGGCACACAGTGGGGGCCATTCTGCCCCCACCCCACCCCTGAAACATGCATGCCCAGGGGCCTCCAGGGAGTCCCCAGGAACAGCCAGAGGCGGGAGGGGCGTGGAGGAGGGGAACACCTCCCTGACCCTGCAGGGGTGCTGTGAAGAGGAGAAAGCCCCCCCTTCCACCCCCTCAAGGGTTTAGGAGAGGGACGGGCCTGAAGGCCGCCGGGCTGCTCAGTCCCAGCTGAGTGCCAACCCCCCCCCGCCCTGCCCTGCCCTGCTCTGGCTGCTCCCCTCCCTCGCCTGCGGAGAGGGACCCCCCCTCCAGACGGGGAAACCGGACATGTGGGCAGGCAAACATCTGCTCCCCCGGATGACCTTGGCTTT